CTAGTAGTAGTACTACTATTGTATCACTTTCACTAATTTACCTTTCACTTTCACTATCACTTTGAAAAAAACTATAACATAGTCTATGACTAGACACTGAAGAAGTTTTCAAGCAGTAAACGAAATATATATATCTGTTATAGTTTTTTTTTAGTGAAATGAAAGTAAATTGTGAAAATGAATAGTGATTTAGTGAAATTTATACAATACATAGTAGTGATAAGGTATGGTTTATTTGTTATGTATTGAATAATATTGCTATTGAATAATATTGATTGAACAATAACAGCTGTTGCTAGCATGATTAATAATCAAAAGGCTATGTTCATAAAAAGCCATAAATCGATTTCTCTCCAGTTAAGACGCATAGCCTTTTTGACCCATAGGGGTTGGCACTCTCGCCCGATGGCAGTTTAAAAAAAGGGTTTGAGAAGACATTTTGAAAACAATCGTTAACAACTTTTGCCGAGATCGAGGCCAAGATTTAATTTGCATTAAATTGCTGATTTATGAAGGCAACGTAATGAACTTGCAACCAGGGCTGAAAAAATCACTGAAATTCATCAAAGTTCACTATGGATGAAAAATTCATTTCATAGTGAATGCTGGTGATTTTTTCATGATATTTTCAACTCTGCTTGCAACACAGTGTACAAACTCCTACAAATACAATTATCCACTAGTTGACATATAGACATATAGAAAGTGAAATTTTTAAGGTGGCACTCTTGCTCCATCAGACCCTACAACACAATAGATCAACTCTGGTCGCAGTGGTCAATGTACAATGGTCCCAAAGCCGTATTTAGGAAGACAAAAATGTTTGCGTTGGTTTAAGGCATATGGTATCTTCGGGAAAGTTTCTTCATATTTTTTGGCCGATCTTTTAATGTTAATGAAATTAGGGTGGTCCATAAAATTGGGGAATCGAAAATGCGAACTTTTTTTTTATTGTTCGAGATAGACCAATGCAATGTTCTAGAGAGTTGCAGAACACACAACTTTGCTCAAGACATCACATTTCCATTTCTTATGGTTCATGAGTTATTATTTTTTTAAACAAGCAGGATAGGGTGGCTCCTGAAAAATTGGTTTTATATGAATATCTTTTCATACGTTCATTTATCATAAAAACGAAGTTCTAGACACTTTTAGAACTTTTGATAGCAAATATTTTTGCTGGAGCAACTAAGTTGCTATTTTTTTTATTCGAAAGTTAAAGGCTATTTTCTTTTTAAAAAATGGCATTTTTCAATTATCAATATCTCTTAAGAGAGTAAACCGATTTTCAAACTTTTAATTCCATTCGGAATATCGTTGTTTTTTACATGGTAGAAAAACTGCGAGAGTGACTTTTGTTTAAAGCATTTAATTTAATTTAAAAAAAAACCTTTTATTTTTATGAAAAACAAATAAACTGCCTCAGCAAAAATGTGCGCCATCAAAAGTTCTTAAAGTGCCTAGAACAAAATTTTTGCGAGAAATCAATGTATGAAAAGATAATTAAAGATAACCTTTATTCTACGGATTACCCTAGCTTATATCACAGACAAACAGACATAACACTCGCAAGTTGTTCATCGAACAAGCATTTAACGGTCAATTTAAAAGTATCGTAGTTGGTAGCACCGCCACCTATGGCGCGCATAGTCAATTCCCTTGCGTTTGACGTTTACACACTACCGCCATCTGTTCAGCGTACTACCCACCACAGTGTATTCAACAGATGGCGGTAATGTTTTTGCGACGATGTTTTACAGTGAGAAATATTCAATGTGTTATGTCTGTTTGTCTGTGCTTATATTATAAAACATCAAACATGGCCTACTGGGACTATGTTACGAACCTCATTAAATAATACAATGGTCTATTTTCTCTGGATTTAGTGCTTTATAAATATTAAAAACGAAGTGCAATGATAAATTTAATGATATTTATTGTTTAAATACCCAGTAAGTTTGACAAGTATCAATAGTTAATTAAAAGTTTAGGGCTTCTTCGGGTAGAGTTTCGTCAGTTTTGTTATTTCAGTTTCTGTTCATCAGCGAAATAACCGGATCACATGGAGGTAACAATCGATAAATACATCCTCGATGTTGGCGCTTCGGCTGAATTTGCGTGAATGGAACTCACAGAATTTCCTTATAGATTTGTTGCGTGTCTCTAAAGCTTCTTCACTCAACATCCCCACTGGACCAATAGAGTGTTTGACAATCGCACTACCGTGAACCAGAATTTTGTGCAGTATTGGAGAGAGAGGATACTACCCGTACTCGCTGACGTAGAGTAGTCTAGTTGATTCTGGATAGGCACGAAATGCTTCACCGTTTATTTCGCGCTTACTGTTGATTACGACAAGAATAGTGCAAGGTTGCAAATACTCATTTCAGCTAAAACAATGTTTTTTTTTTAATTATGAAATAATTAGATGCTATGATCATATTTTGAATTGGTAAGCTACAAGAAGAGGTTGCAAAGAATGTGTTTGACATCATGATCAGCAAATCGCTGATTGTGACTCATAGAAAGCAACATTTACAGGTTTTATGTTTCAAACGCATACTTTGAAGCCTCTTCTTGTAAGTTACAAGTAAAACATGTCATCATACCATCTTTTGGATTTATTATTTCGAAAAACATTATTTTAGCTGAAATGAGTATTTGCAACCTTGGAATAGTGTAGATTCTTTCAAGCAACTCCTTGTTCAGTGCAGTTATTTCACATACTGTACGCCACTCTCTAAAACATTGCTTGCAGTGTTTTCGTCATTGCTCTTACATCCGCTTGGTAATGGTTCACTTATCCTAAGGCCAAGTTTCCGTTTTAACACACTCCGTATTGTGATTTCTCGCTGACGAACACTTTCATTCGATTTTGCCACTTGCAACGTTGGCTTGTCCATCTCCGATCGATAGGAAATCTTTAAGAACACCTCCATCGTCCTAATTGCTAATCAAAGAAGGCTTTGCCGTTACGTAGCGCACGTGTAATGAATCAATTTAGCTTGATGGTTTCAAAGATACCATAGGTTGCTATTATCACTGCTTTATATGGACGCTAAGATTCAAATATAATGTATATGCGTTGGAATAATATGTTAAACCCTCACCTAAAAATCACACCTTTTTCACAATTATCTTTTCATACATTGATTTCTCGCAAAAACTTTGTCGTAGACACTTTTAAAACTTTTGACATTTTTGTCGAAGCAATCAAGATACTATCACTTTCATTTGAAGAGTTATGGCAGTTTTTTGCATGAAAATTTGGATTTCTAAAAATTAAATTAAATGCTTTAAACAAAAATCGCTCTCGCAGTTTTGCCACCATAAATGTAAAAAAACAACGATCTTTCGAATTGAATCCAAAATTTGAAAATCGGTTTGCTCCTTTAAGAGATATTGACAATTGATAAGTGCCATTTTTTTTTGAAGAATATCGCCTTTAACTTTCGAATAAAAAAAGATAGCAACTTCGTTGCTTTAGCAAAATTTTTCCTAAAAGTGTCTAGGACTTCGTTTTTACGAGAAATGAACGTATGAAAAGATATTCATATAAAACCAATTTTTCAGGTGCCACCATAACCTGCTTGTTTAAAAAATAATAACTCATGAACCATGCAATTTGGAGTCTTAAGCAAAGTTGCTGCAAATTGATTTTTCTGCAACTTTTTAGAACATTGCATTGGTCTATTGTTTAACAATAAAAAAATTATGGACCACCCTAATTTCCCTAACATGAAAAGATCGGCCAAAAAATATGAAGAAACTTCCATTTGCCTACCACCAACGGTTTTAGCGCAAACATTTTTGTCTTCCTAAATACGGCATTGGGACCATTGTGCAATGCTCTTACCACAGAAATCTGGATCAACAATAGAAAAGGGCCCATCAGCATTTGTAAACAAACCGTTCCAAAGCCCTTTACTCACAAAGCGAAGGCCACCCACGCAAACCAACACCATCATCGGATAGGGGGAAACTTCTACCTACACGATGATGGTGTTGGTTTGTGTAGGCGGCCTTCGATTTGTGAGGAATGGGCTTTGGAACGGTTTGTTTACAAATGTTGATGGGCCCCAGCGCTGCCATTTATACAGATTTATCTGTATTATACAGATTTTTTAATCTTAATACAGACCCGATACAGAATACAGATTTATCACAGATTTTTAAATTACAATACAGATTTATACAGATTTTTATAAAATGAATGTTATGGTGTTTTTGTCAGCATTCACAACCAGAGGACCAACCGGTTTCGGATGCATATGAAGCTGGTAGTAAACGATTTGAGATTGTATGGGGATTTACAGTATTAATTGAATATTTCCAATATAAGCATGTATGTTAAATACAAGAAAAGTGCTTGAGCACATTAAAATGGTACAAATACAAGTACTCGTAAACATTTTACTTGCATTGAAAATGTATTTCGTAAGAAATTGCGGATTTTCTGATATTCTCCATACTGCAAAAATGATTTTACCAGCAATGGCGGGGCGACATCTCTCGACTTTTCGGTGTAACTACCACACAAATGATGTAATTAATTGTATTCATCTATATTAAAAATATCAAATAGTAATGAACTCGTGCACTTTTTTGCATTTAAAACTGCTTATCAGGAAGATAATGAATAGAAACTAAAATCTCCATACATTTTCAAACGGCTTCATATCACTCTTATAAATAAGTACAGACGATATCACAAATGGCGCAATTATATCCCGTATGGTTAGTACGATAGCCCGAATAGGTGGTTAAGCACTTTTTATGGTTACTTTGTATGCACTGTATTTGTAAAACAACAAAACATGATTAATTAAGAAAAAAATCGTCAATACAGAAAATACAGATTTTTTAATAGAGTGGATACAGATTTTTTATAAAACCACCTGGCAGCTCTGATGGGCCCTTTTCTATTGTTGATCCAGTAATAAAAAGAAAAACTCACACTATACATGAACTCACGTTAATTTCTAGAAAGAAACACTCACCTGTTATCATAAATTGGTTCACATTCTGTATGACCATCGACCGCACCTCCCCTTTCAAACTGCACAGAAACACAACCAAATGCGTTCCCTTTACCACCAGGATCAGCAACCGATCGTTGGCATAATCCAGTTCGTACTCCGCGAACCCAACGATCAAATTATCCTCATCGGACCACATATTGTTCAACTGCTCGAAATCCACCACCGTCGCATCCGGTAGCGTCCGGAATCCATAAATAGCAATCTTCCCGTTCTGTAACCCGACAAGCAGCAGATTTCGATCCTCGGCTATGGTTATCCATTTTAGCAGCCTCACCGGTTGCAATACGGCAGCTATAAACTGCACCTGGACTCTATCGGATAGCAAACTGTAAAGGACAATTTTGCCCGACTTGGTTCCAATGGCGAAGTGGGCCACATGGTGGAACGCATGGTCACGCCAGCAAAAATTCGTAATTAGCGCATCGTGTACAGCCGGTAGCAATTTGTCGAACTTCCTGTACACGTTGCTGTCGTGCAAGTGAGCATTCCAAGTGGCGGAGACGTCCACATACAGCAGCCATTCCTTTTGGGCATTGTCATATCGTTGCACCGACAGCTGCCCCATGCTGGTCAAATGAGCCACCAAACAGACTTTGTAATCTTGGAATATTCCCGGTGGGGACACGGCAGCCGTCACATTAGTGATGTACAGCGTTGCGATATTCGGAATGATAGTCTGATCAAGCATAATCGTCGTTCGCTCCAGCCGCTTGCTGGTGTTGTAGACTTCGATCTCTTTCACCGATAGTTGACCCGTAGGTTTCTCCTTGGAACATTCATACCGACTGAGGATGTAATTCAGGGCACCATCCTCGTTGATGTGTTTGTACTTGAGCTGCAGGAACTCGACGTTGCCCTTGGTGAAAACAAGAAAATAGTCGCCCGAACTGGAGATGGCAAATGGGAGATTCACCTGGTCCGGAATCTGCAAGCTTGCATACTCTTTCATTTCCATCTTGACCTACCGGATGCTTGAATCTAAAATCATTAAAAATATCCAAATTTGAAATCGAAAGCGTGATTCTTACCTGAAAGGTTTCACGCGCGTGTTTCAACTCCTCGATGTGTAACGACGCGCCGGCTGCGGCGTCGCTACGAATGTGGATAATCAAAACAAACGACGGTAAAACTGACCCTTTTACGTTTTAGCTCCTCTTGCAGTCAGTTCCATTGATAAACTCGTTCGGAACGGCTGTTTGCGTAACAAGATACTGCTGTTGCCCTTCGGTGGTTGAGTTTCAACAAGATTTTTTCTGCGAATTTTTCCTGGTGTTGCTCCGGCTCAATGCTGAAAAGGATGAGCACGAAGAAAGGGCTGGAATTTCTGCGGGCTGTTTCGAACTACATGACGAAAACCAATGGCTACGATCGGTGTTTACAGCAGGTAGGTGATTTGTCTTACCTTCATTGAAATTGTTGAGTTACGGTGTACTTTACATTCATGAACACTGGAATCCGCACGAAAATAATCGTAAAATTATAGAAAAACCTTGTGAATAAACTTCGACCCGAAGTGCAAACTTTGGACGAACGAAATTTGTTTTGACATTTTGCTCTTGCTTCCTGGGCAGGGCTGTCACAAATGCTTCATCGTTCTTCAGAGGCGATAGGTATGAAATATTTCATCGTTAGAGCTCAGAACCGTCAACTGTTATTTGAGAATAGGCAATCAAACCATATCAAGAGCAAATTTTCATTACGTCGAATGTAACAAAGGTAAACAAAGTCGAGCTATCAGTGTCAATCGATTCTCCTGCTATTACACTATATACTGTCCGAATATAGGATCAAATCCCATTTTAAATTTATTTACCAGTCAAATTGCTTTTTGACGTAATCACCTTCCGATCAAAATAGTTTTCGATGTTACTTAAGTCACCCAATTTCTATGGAAATGCCGTTTGACTTAAGTAACAGCGCTGAGAAACCCGTGAAAAGTGTACGTTCGTCGTTTCGCTTTCTCATTATTAAAGTGAATAAATCGAACTGTTTGTTGCTAAGATGATTTCGGTGGTCCTAAAATGATGAATGGGCTGCACGTAAGGAGACGTAATTGATAATTCTCACGAATATCCTGGTAAATACACTTTGACTTAAGTAACAATAGGGGCCACCAAACGACGTTTAACCCGTAAAAAAAAGAACCGTAGAGGTACAATGAAATGTATTGTAACCATACAATAGAGTTTATGGTATTTACAATAAATCGTATTCTCGACAACGATTAAATAACAATAGAATGTATTGTTTCTACAATAGAATCTATGGTAAATGGGGGAATATACAATAGATTAAGGGGGTCGTTATGTATCTTAACCATACGAAAAATCACTTTTTCCCGAACAAACTTGAACCATTTACCATTAATTGTATTGTTGTTCTATTGTTGAAAACTCTTACTATATGGGACCTATTGTACATCTATTATAATAACAATATGTTAAAACTTCGTGTACTATATACACACAATAAGATCGATTGTTGGCAATAGATTTACGTGTAACTGTATTTTATTGTATGGTAATTGTATGGTTATTTTTTTCCGGGAATAACTTTTGACTCAAAAACCAGTATTTCTTAGCATGAAAGCTAGCGATTTGCCTTTGTATGATTAAACCCGGCTAAATATGTTAAACATTAATATCACTATGAGATTATATGTGTTAAATTGGAAATAGGAATAACTTTTCGGTCATCAAAACAAAACTTTATTTTTCTCAGATCGGTGCGAATGTTACTTACGACATAATGAAAATTTGCTCTTGATATAAATATAATTAAGATTAACCGTAAACTGCACTGTACTTGGGGACTATAGAGTTTTTTTTACGTTTAATCGGCACATACAAATGCATTGAAGGAGTGCGAGCAAGAGGGAAACAGATTAGTGGGAAACCCAACACTCCCTAAATCCCTGTGTGCCAGATAGAGAAAGGCGATTAAACCCTGGATTAAACGTTAAAAAGTTGTTGTGACGAAATAGTGTCAGGTTTTAAATGCTTATAACAGGGTCATTTTTAATTGATGAAATTCTATTTTAATTAACCACTTCATTCGAGCAGATAAAATGACGTTTACTACCACTCGAACTTTGAAATAAAACATTATTTTGAGATTTTTTCTTCTAGAACCTCGAAAAAAGTAGCCAACATTTGTGCGTTTCATAAAAAAAAATTAAAATCGCTGGTAGAAAGTCACGCCAAAACTGCTTGACAAAGTGGTTAATTACACAATTTTTTTCAGATTGATTTGTTTGTACCAATGCTACACTGAACCAATATGACATATTCCTGTTATGTGGCAGTCTAATAAATTTGCGTTATAAGAAAATCCAATTGAAAATGTAAAAGGTAAATCATATATGAATATCTGAAACATTTACAATGCTGATAAGAAACGTGTATATGATCGTCATATGATACATCAAAATCGGTCAAACTATAAGAATTAACTGAAATGAATGGATCATTTTAGATGGCTGAGTTTTGAACCCACCACAGCTTTCATTTGGCGCTACTGTATACGGACGAACCAATGTAAAATACTGTGATAGCCACAGTACGGTGCTGTCAAAACCTCAGCATCTTCAATGATCCATTTGTAACTCATAAGTATAAGCTATACTCACACTAAGATATCCGAATATCTGTGAAAAATTACAGGAAATCTGTGAAAAACCACCGAATTGTTTACCGAACGTTCAGCTGTTGAGATTTCGGTAAAATTTCCCAGATTTCGGTAAAATAATCTAAATGTGTTTTCTCTACAATAGCATATACATACACACTAAGATTATTTTACCGAAAAATGTGAAAATTTACCGAAATCTCAACAACTGAACGTTCGGTAAACAGCTCGGTGATTTTTCACAAATTTCCTGTAATTTTTCAACAGATATCTGTGAAAAATCACAGAAAATCTGTGAAAAATCACCGAACTGTTTACCGAACGTTTAGCTGTTGATATTTCGGTAAAATTTCACAGATTTCGCTAAAATAATCGTAGTGTGTATGTCATAAATCAATCTAATTAAAGTTTAAACGAAAATCACATGAAATTACTTCTTGTTTTGAACCATATTTTTATTGATTCTAAAAATAAATCGAAAAATAAACATAGGTCGTGGGATGCTTCAGAGCTGCATCTTTTTTTTTTGATGTCGGTGTCTTCGCTCGGTTCCACTGGGCCACGGCTGACTTCAAGATTGGGCTCGTTCATTTAGCATGAAGTAATAACAACTCTCCTGACATGGAATGTAGTGCAACGTTATGCTCGTTTTGCTAGAGTGAAGAAAAATATCACTGAAAAATTTATGTTCCGCTTCGGTGGTGTCGTGTGTTCAAATCTTTATTAATGACCTGATTCCTGCCGCCACTCACTCGAGGTTAAGGCTGGATATACTCGCAGGACAAGAGTGTTTTAAAACCTCCAGTGAGTTTGAGGAGTTTCAGCAAGCCTGGTTATGTTTAGAAATCAATGTATTAGGGATTAGGTAGACCATCCGAACTGAATGTAATCTTTCTTGAAGCAAACCAAGGTCGAAGATTTAATTGAGCCACACTATAAAATAGTGTATTCATTGTCACTTGTAGTCTGGAGTATAGGCGACCGGTGGAAACTAACTATTTTAAATTGGCTCACTACTTGACTAACCTATTGGTCCCAAGCAAATCGATTAACATTTCTCATTCTAGTTGATATTCTAGTACTACACTATGTTTGTTTTGATTCGCTATGAAAGTTTGACAGATAAAATGAGGGGTTCGTTGATATTCCTATGTTTAGAGGGTTTCATCGATGAGCCAAAAAGATGAGCACGTTTCTTCGGGACCTTCTAGTCTTAGAGTTACCCCTGTGGTATGATCAGTGCTGATAAAAATCATTTCTTCTACATTCAACTTAGCTGAAAATGAAGACAACCTTAACTTATAGACCAACTACCAAGAATTTGAATTTTGACGTAAAAACATTCTCTTGATCAAGGCAACCTCTGAGTATCAAAGATAATTCGATTTTGTTCATTCGTGGCTGGATGGTCTTAATTGCCTGTGTTGTTGTCAATATAAATATTCGTCTTCATTCAGAATGGGAATGATTTTGATGATCAAATGCAAAATGATTGTTTTAATTTTACACAAAAATAGCGCTGAAGAATATATGCGAGTTATGAATTGGTTCGTGTCTGATCTATTCTGGACACATTATTTTTAACTAGATGAAAAATTCCTATGATATTGACAGTTTGGATCACTGCACATTTAAATCGGCCGTTTACGATTTTCGGGCATAAGTCAGAATTAAGTGTCATGTCGGTTTGTCGGTGGGAAAAGTGCTTAATTTTGGGTTATTTTTCATCTCCGTGTACTCAGCGTGCGCGCAGCTAGCCACAACAAAAACAAAATCTTTCCTGCATTGTAGATAGAGACACCACCGACAAACCGACATGAAACTTAAACTTAACTCTTGATCGAGAATCTATAACGGCCGATTCAAATGTACAACGATCCCATCTGTCAAAACCATAGAAATGTTCTATGTAGATAAAAATAATTAATCCGAAATAGATTAGACACCAACCAACTCATCAATTTTTTACGCGTGTTCGTGGCTTGGATAAATATTTTCCGCGAATGTCAGTTTTGTGCTTTGATCAGAAATTTCTTTGTAATTTGTATAATCATTCATGTCGGTTTGTCGGTGGAGTCACTTCCCTCGCAATTTTATATTATTTGCACCTGTGTCGTGCCCAGGTTGCACATGTGGACGTGGCGCCACTGGTATTCTCAATAACTCTCGGGATAATTCCATTAAAAAGCTCTTCATAATTCTTTGTAAAAGCTACCCTTTGGAAATTAATCTTTGACATATTCCTAAGAATGGAATTCAACTCTGAATTGTCTTAGAAATCTAAACAGACCTAAGTACAGTCGACTTTCGCTTGTTGGGCTAAACCCGTAGGCCACTTACACTGTAACTGGAAGTATCCAGTCAAAAAGGGTCCATTTTGGAGTAAATTGGTAAAATTCATTAAATGAGTAAAAGAAGCAGTATTAGATTTTAAACAATATCTCAACCATAAATTTAGAAGATAGAAATAAATCCATTTTTTGTTCAAACCCGTTCAAAAAAGAGAGGTAAATCCTTGGGTAAAGCAGAGGGTTGTGCCAACAATCAATACGAAACTAACGATTTTAAATTGGCTCACCACTTTAGTAGCCTATTGGTCCCAAGCAAACGATTAACGTACCCTATTCTAGTAGAAATTCTATTACTACACTATGTTTGTTTTGATTCGCTATGAAAGTTTGACAGATAACATCAGGGGTGTGTGGATTCATGCAGAACATGCAGGGGTGAGTGAAATAGCTTGGGACTGCTTGGGACCGTTGTTCTGGTACTGAGTGAGCCAAAAATAATAATGATTTTCTTCGGGACCCAGTGGTCTTAGAGTTACCTCTATGGTTGTGCTTAGTATGTCGGAAATTAGATCAAAAACCCTACTGTCAAAAATTATGTTTGACTTCGATATAGGTGGACTACAGCCCAACTAACGCTAGCCCATCTAAAACGTATTCCACACATAGACCAACGAGAAAAATTTGACTGTATTTAGGACTACTCTGATTTTTATTCAGAAAATTCCCTTGAACTGTAGCTTAGCATTTTCAAAGCATCCAGCAGATTCCATTTCAATTCCCTCCATAATTTATTTGGATATCTTCTAAAATTCACGTTGAGATTCTTCTCAAAATTTGTCAGATATTCTTCTTGGAATTTTCTTATAATTCTCTGAACCGGAAAAACTATGTTTGACAACCGGGAAATAACCGGGCATTTAAATTTCTCAACCCAGTGGCCACCCTGGATCAGAAACCACGACGACACCGACTTCAGCCACCACCGATTGGTGATCGGAGCTGAGATCGTTGTGCGCCACCGGCTTAGAAAAACAGATGTTGTTGAGCGTGTTTAAACAGTAGACATCCGTTCTGGTTTCGCTGGATATTTCCACCAAGCCTCGGGCGTTCAGATCTCTTCCAACGATAAAACGGGAGCTAATACGAGTGATGGCGGTCAGGTCGTTTTTGAATTTGGTTGCTAATCCGTTGTTGACTGTATACTGTCAAGGGCAGTAAACAGCAATGAACAGAACGTTTTCAGATGGCGATGAGAGAAGTGCGTAGGTTCATGAGGCAGGGTGTAATACTTGATTGATTGAGCTGGTGCGATCAAGCCGGATGATGCCGGATGTCTGATAACCAGAAGCTGTCGCCGGACTTTAGGTGAGTCTCGCATAGAAGACCCACGTCGATGCTGTGCTTGCGGATGAAGTTGGCAAGCTCCATCTTTATTGCAGAGCATAGTGACAATAGTTAGCTGTTTGGACGCCATACTGGATGATGAACTTGGATCTGCTCGGGCTTATTGCGGCACTAACGAAGAGCACCGGTAATGTTTATGAAAATTTACATCAGTTCATCACAGATCGGGTTATTGCTTTGCGCTGTTGATGGTCTCTAGAATCCAGAAACTTGGGGAGGAGGGAACTGAAGCGGTTATGAACTTTACGAACTAGGTAAAAAGAAAAAAAAAATCTAGCGATATTGGGTCTTGGGACGAAGTTCGATGACTTCTTCCGAACTAACTTACTGAAATCATCAAAACAATTCTCAAATTTTTGTTCGGTGCTCGTTAGACATCTCCAAAACTCTCCGATCCTCTCCGAACGACGTGTTCTGGGTATCTTGTAAACCATTTGTGGAATAGCTCTACCATTTGGGTTATTGTTCATTTATGAGAAGCTCGGTGAGGCGAAGAAATTTCATTTTAATGCAGGGAATCTTAGAAATGCTCAGTATCACCCAAGTAACATTGCAAGTTTTATCGAAGTTTTAAAGCATGCTACAAGTCTAAATCATGGTCTCCAGAACCCTCATAAAACCAAATTTTTTACTTGGGCAGTGAGCAATTATCGTTTGATAGATTGGGACAAAGTTTTAGAAACGATGCTGGATGAGAATCTAAGTTGAAATTGATTTTGCAGCGACCAATTTTATAACAAGGATTGATCCCGTTCCATTGCAGCTAAAAATCGTGAGCGGTGGCGACGGAAAGTGCACGGCCGAGTTTAAAGTGGCCGAGGAACAGCTGAATCGGGCCGGCGGTTTACACGGTGGCTTCACCGCTACCATTGTGGATGTCGTCACCACCTACGCTCTGATGACCAAGGAAAATTGCCTGCCGGGAGTGTCGGTTGATATCCACGTGACTTACCTGAAGGCAGCCCGGGAAGGTGATGAAGTGGTCATCGATGCCAACACGATCCGGGCCGGTAAAAATCTGGCCTTTTTGGAGTGCGAACTGAGGCACAAGAAGGACAACTCGATCATCGCCAGGGGACAGCACACCAAGTACATTGGAACCGGAGGTGGGAAGCAGAAGGAATAGGCTTTCTTTCATCATGGATCCATAGAAATAAATAGACTCACACCGGAAAAGGTAATTCGAAAAGAGAGTAAAAGTGGTAATTGTTTTTATTGATTCAATTGTTTTGCTTTGTTAAATGTGTTTTTTTTTTTCAATGTGAAGTACCGGGTTTCTTGGTAAAACTGGTTAAACTTACTACATCATGCTTCTTATCATCTATATAATAGAATAGTGTTGGTTTTTCTTCAGGATGACAATTCCACGTCTCGTGTCTGGTTTAGTTTATTGGTTGTGTCACGACTTACGAGCTAATGTAGTTTTTTTTTTTGTTTCCTTTGTGTTGTGTAATGCTGAGATTAGGAGAACAATAATTCCTTGGTTTTTGCTTTGTTGGTTGATAGGAGACTTGTATATTTTGATTCTTTATAATTTCTAAAATGTTTGATTTTACTTCTTCTGGAACACCGTAAAAGGGGAGAAAATTTCCAATTGTAGACTTTGGTTTAATAATTCGAAGTATATTTTCGCTATTTTTGTATTTACATAATCCACGGTGTTGGTAGTCGTGTTAAAAATAAGAAATGGAATATTTTGACAATGTCCATGTATCAATTTGCTTCAGTTGGATTTAAACCTAAAATTGTTTCTACCTTTGCAGTAGATCCGATCCGTTTCTTACATTTCTCCAGGACTGAGAATTATATAAAATGAAACAAATTGGATCGTTGAATTCTTCATCGCGATTCTTTTCAAATGCAAATCTTTTTCAATAATTTAATACGGTGAATAGAAACAACGATGCTATCTTAGTTTGGCTCAGAAAATGCTACTTGTTACTGTGTAAGTGTGAGTATCCGATATAGAAAATATGTGAGGGTAAAGTAAAGCCATCCAGCAAACCTAATACTTTTTTTTTTTAATTCCTTCATATTGACATCATTTGGCACGATGTTTGGTTAGAAAGTAAGTTTTCCGAAAGAACGCATGTAGCTTAGAAACTACCAGTGAGTAGTGGATTCTCCACGAAACGCTATATATCAACGTCTAACTTGAAATCTAAAACGCTACCTGTTTTGTATAATCATCATCACTTTTCGTTCGTAAGCTACTAAATTCATGGCGAATCCTTCGAGGTTACTGCTAGTCCACTGTCATCTACGGAACACGTCGGACAGCACTTGCCGTCTTCCTTCATCAGTACCAACCCGTTTTCGCAGATCAACTCGGCGCATTTCTCCGTTTCACAGCTGATCTGGTGATGCTCGCACTCGCACTTGGTGCAGTCGTCCCGCATCCAGATCTCGTTGTTCAGCCGTTTGATTCCTTTGTTGTCTACGCAGTGGCCATGCGGTTTCCCCTTAACCGGGCTAGTGCTGCCGTTTGATGTAGCTGCTGCCGCCGAACACTGCTGCTCCAATCGTCGAATCTTCCTTCGCATCTGCTTCATCGATTTCTGGAACGTTTCAATAAGTGATTCCAGTCCTTCGATACGCTCCTCATTCATATCGTCGTCTATGAAGGAATCTTCCTCCAAGTGATTGTCCGGTTCAGGCTGCTTGGCCAACTTGCTCTCGATTTCCCGTTTTGCTCTGATAGATCTTCGCTGCCTAGGCAACGAATCGTACCGCTTGTGATGTCGTGAACATTCACTACAGTCGATCCAGTGCTCAAAGTCCAACTGAGGAATCTCGTCACAGAACTTGTAACCACCCTGTTTGCTCGGTAATACAAACACATTATCGGTTACTCGAGTAATGTTGTCTCCGTTGTCACAGAGTACTCGTCCGAGCGAAGCCTTTTTGATCTGCGCCAGCTGCTCTGGCTTGAAATGGTCATTATCGTACCAGAATCGGTCCCCATCGCGTAGTTTCTTGAACTGCTCCACCAGCAAACACATGAACAATGGCCCAACCTTCGCCCCAGGCAGCTGATCTTCCAATATTCCACCAACCCAGAGATCCACATTGTCCGGATGACCGTAGTTCTCCTTCATCTTGTTCCGGCTCTCCTCACTGGTTATTTCCTGCTTCAGATCATCAAAACTAACCGCCACCTTTAAGTTGCAATACCTCCTGTAGTCGTTGTACCCCGGCAAGGCATGATCTCTCGATCTCTGAATATTGATAGCTGCCAGATCCAACGCGACGGCATGAGCTGCTTCAAATAACTTCTCCGTCAAATCCGTGTTTAAGTTCTGATTTGGCTTCTTCAGCTTTGCCGGAACCGATATCAGTCCTCGCAACAGTGGATCAACTCCTCCTTCATAAACGATTCGCCACGGAGCAAAGAAAGCCTTATGCAACGGAATGTTACCCTGTTCGATCGGCTCAAATGACTCATTCAACCTGTGCAAAATCGGATTGATCAACGAGTGACCAAATCTCAAAGCCGCCGTCGCAAACTCGTTCGAAATTGACGGATTAATCGACGAATCGTAACCCCGATATTCACCCATTAAAGCCATTCCTCGATCGCCAATAATCTCCGGTAACCAATGCTGGTATGTGATATGTTGAATCATCGCTCCGACCACCTTCCTGGTTTCGAAATAAATCTTATCTCCGTCCCAGTGTGGGTTGATCCTTTTGAACTCCTGCGCAATCCTGTTGTGCTCCCTGAACCAAATGATATGCATTGACAGCAGACCTAGCTGCTCATTCACTCTGATATCTCCAGCAGTAAAACAGTTCACCGTGCTCTCCTCCAAATTTCTCCTGCAGTCCATCCCATCGGTAGGTGCCGCAAATGGCAGCAACGACTTCTGATTCGGGAAATGCGGTCCTGTCCTCAGTAATCCATCATCCGTGGTCAGATTTCGCAAATCCCTTGCAAAACTCTCCGAATACCCATAGACCTGTGAACCGTCGATGTACGCCGTCAGCTGATTGATCTGCTCTCTTGGTTGTACCGTTCCGAAGAAGATCGACGTCATTCCCGATCCGCAAACTGCACTCGATCGCACAAAATCAATACACCTTCTGTTGCGCACCCTAGGATCGCCTTCCGGAATCTCGATAGGATAGCACGGAGCTGCATACTCACAGGTCTTCTTACAGTCAACCCCATCCCAACTTTCCGAACTGACAGACGGGATTGCATGGTCCAGATCGTGATCCAAAAACTGTCCCCACTGCATCACCATGTGTGTGATCCGCTCGTCCGGAGTGATAACCTCCGTCGCAATCATACTGGTTGAAACCAAACGAGCACTTGGTTTAGAGAATCCTTGGTACAGACGGGTTTTGTTCCATCCGATCGGCATGTTGAATCCATTTTCGTAAATTGGTGGCAGCAGCCGTCGGAACCCGGTAAGCGACGATCCCCACGTTGGGTTCTTGTAGTTGTTGCACGAACCGTCCAGCGTACGGAACTTGGCGTGGAAGCAGAGATCCGTGCAGTTAGGAGTCACACGGTGCGCCATACAACCGCTCAGCTGAGCGAGCAGGTCCAAATAGTCCGGTGACAGCAGATCGTTGTAGTTGAAATCGGTTGTGTTGGTAGACAGATTCCGTCCGGTGGTGACATGCTTGCGGATGTTGACCAGTGCGCGTTCGTAGACTTCGGCTGCTCGGGCCAGTTCTCGAGCCGGTCCCGTTGGGAAGCGGATGATTCGGAACAGGTCACCGTGATGCTGCTGCGTCTTGTTGGCACCGACCGAGAAGAGCTTTGCAATCGTTTGGTTGATGGCGAGGTCCACTTCGCGGGACGCTTCGGCGATGGCAATCCGGACGAATTGGTCGCCGGGGAGCAGTTCCAGTTTCTTCCTGTCAAAGACAAACAAATGAGGGTGGTCAGTCAAGGGGAAGTGTGGTCGATGCGATTTTAACATGATTTGATCAATTCAGAAGTACAACAACGGATAGATATTCGATAAGGTCTGTAACGGGCCGTGTACTAATTACTTAGGGGTTTTTTTAAATAATTTTTCAACCCCCTTTTAATAAAATTTTGTAAGGTTTTGATGAACCCCCTCGCTCTTCTTTATAAGCTTACTAAGATTTTCCAAATCATCAGGTTTAACAATTTTATATTAAAAGAAACCCGAAAACATAAACAAACTCAAATTTTGTTAAAAAGTTCTAACTGCTAACACTGTGTTATTCAGCTATCATTTAAATAACTTGATACAGGAAAATCTAAAAATCCGTCACGTACAAAGGTTAATAAAAAAAATGTGTTCAGTACAATCATTGTCAGGATGAATTTCAAAACAAGAATTTTGCAATATGGTCAAAAAATCATCTCAAAGCTTATCCACTTCATTTCATTTAACCCATCTTCTGAACATGTTGCTTGGTCGTGTAGTGCATCGGGAATGAGCACAAACTAGGTTAATCAAACTTAGAAAAGAACGTCTTGGGCTTTTGAATAAATTGATCTGATACCAGATCTTTGGGAGGACAGTCTCGGACTTACATTCTGATAAAAACTACAAACTTATTCTTATACAGCCATTCCATAGCAAAACGATATAGGGGTTCACAGAACTTCGTAAAAATTGGTAGTTTTGTTCCTTATCTCAAAATATTACACCCATATCTTTATTTTGTCATTAGGGTGACCATTTTAATGCTAGAGTAGTTCAAAAATCGTTTTTTTTTTCAAAAATGACAAAAACCCAATGCTTGATAACTTAAAAAAAAATAACTCAAAAACGCAGATAAAAAAAAACACATCGCCCTTTTTTGATATAGCTATAGCCTAGATTTTCAAGGAAAAATATAAAAACATATTGCGCCCTCTTTCTACAAACCTGAAAATCATAAAAAAAAAACAACTACAATCAATGGTTTTCAGTACAAAATCCATATTTTTAAATATAATTATATTTTTCCTAAAAAGTATTTTTTTAATCTTTATTTAAGAGATTTTTAGCCGAAGGCTAGTTCATCTCTAAAAAAAGTATTTTAATTGGACCACCCTAACATGGAAATTGTTAGGTTTTTTGGGATCTCGGAAGTAGAGAAGACAACCACAAGTACTTTTAAAAACTTGTATTGTCTGGTTATAATAGTCGAACGAAATGAATAAAACGATTACTGACGAAAAGGCAGTTACATTTGATAACTGAACGGCAGTGTTGCCAGAATGAATATAGATCGATCGTAAATTATTTTACATAGGGAAATGGCTCAAATGGGGCCTATGGATCTAAGATTGGGTCCATCGCTAAAAATCTGCTATTTATCAATTTTATCTAGATGAACGCGTGATTAGGACGGTACTAATGAAAATTTAGTCGATTGCTGAATTAATGTATGGACCCAAATTAACCACTTCATTCGAGCAGTTAAAATGACGTTTACTACCACTCGAGCTTTGAAATAAAACATTATTTTGAGAATTTTTCTTCTAGAATCACGAGAAAAGTAGCCAACATTTGTGCGTTTCACAAAAAAAAATAAATAGAAATTAGTTCGTCCAGTTTTGTGAAATCACTGGTAGAAAGTCACGCCAAGAATTAGGGGCATTTAGGCCAACATTACATTCATTTTCCTGCACAACATTTATTCCCTCCTTTCGAAATCAAGCGTCTACGGCAGCCCAGTGGCAGGCGCGTTGGCAGCATGTTATACAGTGACAGTGGACCCAGCACAGCAAAATAAATGATTTGAGCCCGGGACATGCTGCCTACTGTCAAACGCTGCTGTTGGCATAGGTCTTGTCACTGGCCTGGTCTACGGTGAGTATTTGCAGGGAGCGCGGCGTTCTCTTGTCGAACAACGCAAGGCCGGCGCCGGTGGTGTAGTGGTAAGCGTGACTGCTTTCTCACCCCAATGGGTCTGGGTTCAATCCCAGCCGATGTCGGTGGGATTTTTCTGAGGCATAAAAATCTCTAGTCACGTCTTCCTACGGAAGGGAAGTTAAGCCGTTGGTCCCGGCCCATGTGTGTTTGAATGGGTGCAATACGCAGGTGTGGAAGCTGCATTGCTGCACATTCGATTGCCGTCAATGGATGGCAATCAATGTCCGTCGGTGATTGGCACTAGATTGCGGAACAGAGACCGACGTTAAATAAAGGAAAGAAGAAGAAGAAGAACAACGCAAGATGATGGGAGAATAATTTGCATCTTGATGAACTGGGCTACCAGATGGCGTATGGAACTCTGGAGTAACTGATTCGGCAGAAGCACGTCGAAGATTCTTAGGATTCAGCGGAGGTAATGGTGCTCTCGGCACTGTAACACCATTATCGGAGAACTGAACAGTTATACGTCGTGGCACGTCATGCTGGCTTGACTTTTCCGCTTCGGGTGCTTCAACCATGAGATGATCGTTTCCACCGAGCCTCGAACGAATTTGATCAATGTGACACCACAATGAACCACACACAAACAGACATAACACTCGCAAGTTGTTCATGGAACAAGCATTTAACGGTCAATTTAAAAGTATCGTAGTTGGTAGTACCACCATCTGTGGCGCGCATAGTCAATTCCCTTGCGTTTGACGTTTACGCACTACCGCCATCTGTTCAGCGTACTACCACAAACGAAGTGACAGACGACTAACTGGCGAAGAAATCCATTAAAATAATGTGGTTCACTGTAATAGAATTTTCTTGGAAGCTTGTGCCATCATCCACCAGATGGGTTAGTTTTTTTGTTTTGATTTGTACACAGTTGATTTTGTGTACAATGATTCTTTGACAGTGTGCAAAGAGTGTATCATTTTGTCATTTTTTTATGCATTTCAGTTTTGAGTAGTGTGAAAGAGATAGAACCAAAACATTCTAATACATTTGGTGAAAATGCTAGTGCAATCCAGTAGTAGTGTTGCCATGTGGTACAATCCAGTAGTAGTGGTGTTGCCATGTGGTACACTGCAAAATTGAAATAGCAGGTTAGTCACCAAAGTTTTCGAGGTGCTCCGTCTGTGACTTCGTTTGTGGTACTACCCACCACAGGGTACTCAACAGATGGCGGTAATGTTTTAGCGTAGTCGATTTCGTAGCGGAGATCTCCTAGACGATCTGCACCAGGAATCCACTTGCCTATACGGTAATCACTAGAAACACTCAAAGGGAAAGAGAGACGGAGCTAAAAAAATACAATTCGGCAGCAGGGATATGTTGCTAAATTATCTTGCAACCCTTGCTAGAAGCTAGCATTTCAAATGACTTTTATTTTTGATTCGATTTACGTACAAAATAATAATTGATTGCATCGCAATATTTTGCACATCTCCTGGTGCCATTCATTAACCAACGAAGATCAATTAATCAATAGAGTTAGAATATTGTTTTTGATTCCAAAAACTAGTTGAATTTGGAAAGCACACAAAACATAAAGGTGATTGAATTTCTGCTCGATTGCAATACTCTATAATTTATTCTAGTAAGCATAAGAAATCCTCGGAAAAATTCTAATGGGAATGTTCAATTGGCTCAGATTTTGACAGTTCATTTGGCTCAAAACATTATCTCCGCCCATCTCTCCCTCTGAGTATTTCTAGTAATACCGGAAAGAAAATAGATCGGTTGACCCGAGCTGGATTCACGCAAATATTGGTTAAAATACGGCTTTTTAATAGAAACTAAGCGATCGATTCAGCCTCTGGTGGTGAATATGAGAACGTCAAAAAAATGTTATGAGCAGAAATGTTTGCCGTGAGACATTGGAAGCGAAACACTTTTTCACTTTTCCTGATAAATTGATTCATCTGAGATGCTCGAAAACTTGATTTCTAGTTGAAAATTTAATTCTATCATTTTTGCAAGGATTCTACTAGTGTTCAGGAATATTTTTTATTGAAAAAAAATCAGACCCCCTTCACTCTTTGGAATTTATAAAGACAGATAACAGCGCCAATAGGTTTGTGACGATACAACGTTGAACTGCAGCGTTGGAAGAAAACACGCACACCAACATCTATGCATGTACGAACCACTGAGCGGAGGGTACAGCGCAAATCAAAACACGAAGCGGTTTCATCACTCAGCTTTGGCAGCTTCAGTTTGCGATTTCGCTGGCGTTGACAAATACCTTCTTTATAAAATAGCAAAGTAATCATTATTCCAACGAAATTTTTGAATAGAAGTAGTTATCGCTCAGCCTCTGAGACGTGCAGACGTTTTTTCTAGATTTTATCAGTGTGTCAAGCATTTTGAAATATCGTTTTTCTTTCGTGTGTCGCTGTGCCGCGTCGCGTGTAGTGATCCGCGATGAGGCGAGAAAATACTTTTCGGATTGATTATTCGAACTTCCCCCTGAAGCCCTCGTACGAAAAAATCCACGCGTTTTGTCGTACGGTACTTGGACTGACGAGGGACGACGTGAAGAGACTCCAGTGCCATCGCGGTGGGTCATGTGCGTTCGTGAAGGTCGGTGACCTCGAGACGGCCCAGAGAGTGGTCGAAGAACACAACGAGAAGCACGAAGTGGAGTGTTCGGGGAAGAAGTACAAGCTTCGTATAACGATGGAAGATGGTAGTGTCGAAGTGCGTGTACACGATCTACCCGAAGATGCGTCGGAGGAGAAGATCGTCGCATTTCTCAGCGCGTGTGGTGAAGTGCTTTCGATCCGGGAACTAATGTGGGGCGAAAGGTACGATTTCGGAGGCGTGCCGCTCGGTATCTGGTCTATCCGTATGGTGGTGAAAACTAACATCGACTCGTGGGTCACCATCGACGGAGAGCAGGCATATATCGTCTTCAAAGGGCAACTGCAGTCGTGCCGCTACTGCAAAGAGCATGCACACTCGGGCATATCGTGTGTCCAAAACAAAAAGTTGTTGGTGCAGAAGAGCTACGCAAATGTGGTA